TATCATTATAACTTATAGTTTTTATTAATTTAGTCATATCAGAGTCTTTGACATCTGTGTATAAGGTCTGTTCATCAAGGCAAATCTATATTTGTCATTTGATCGAAAAGAATAAATAAATAGCACTGTAATATCATTATAACTTACAGTTTACAATTTAGCAATAATATAAATATAAAAATAATAAAACTTTTATTTACAGTGAAATACGTATATCGTATTAATAATAAGTTGCAACTATCCCCAAACAATGTTGCAACTGTCCCCGGCCCCAAGGTCAGTTGCAACATCCGACTTTTCATTTTCAAATGCAAATTGTGAAGAATGTACATTCTTTAATAATCTATAAGTGGTTTTGACTAGTAACAGACTTTGTCCAATCCAAACCTTCTCTGAGCAACAGGGTCAAATGCAAAAAGTGTTGCGACTGTCCCCGGTCTCCCCTAAATATGTCTTCTTCGGTACAGTTTCTGGCAACTACAACATATATGCTTATAGAAAATATCTGATCAGGTGAGCACCTTAGTATAACCTGGAATTTGGTTGAATACATCCTAGCATGCCTGGTTAAACAGACTACTCTTCCTTTTTAGAAAACACACAGAGGATGAGGATGAGGATGCATTTTTTTTGCAAAGACGGTGATACCCATGGACATACACTGATCTCACACGCTCAGCAGATGTTTGCAGACATACGCCTACACGCTTCACACGCATATGCACGAACACAGACTCGCGCAAGAGCACAGATGTGAGCAGTCAAATGAGAAAAAATACAAGTACTTTTCCGCGGTAAAACATAATAAAAGCACTTTTCAAGCACCCGCTAGATGGTAAGGAACTGTTTTATTCTCCAAATTCTCACTGCTGATTATGGACAATTGCAGATTAATGGAGTGATGAGGAGGGAGGAAAGAAAGGAAGCAGGAATAATGATTTAATAGGAAGCATAGAAAAATAGCCCGATCAGCTCACTAAAGTAGGCATCCGCTTTAGAAGGCTATGACTTTGTTAGGATATTATTTTAGTAATATGAAGAAAATACCACACTGCAATGATGATTTTTGCATTATTGTATTTCTGTCTAAGATCGAACAGAAACTTAGCCAGGGAAACACWTGTATTTCAGATTAAAATATACCATGAGATAAAGTCATGATCTGCAGCAGAAACTCTGGTTAGACTGACATTCTGATGAGAGGACTGGCTTTAATGGCATGTGCATTCACCCCCAGGCTGTTTGGCGGAGGATTTCTGGTGCATTATCTTCCTTCTGTTCAGAACTGGGATCCAAATAATTCTTTTGATGGTAATCTGTTTATGACTTTCCATTTGCACTCACAGACAGTAAATCCTAGAATATCCACAGTCAATCTTGTATGATGTGTAATCTCACACAATATACACTTCAGTCTTTTTATGGTCCTGAGCAGTTTTATTAAAAGGTAACTGATGACATCTATAATCGTTGTTAGAAAATGACAGAGCTGAAGCCTCTTAATGGAATATTTATAGTCTGATTCGAAGAAAGGAATTAATCTTGAATACAGCATGTGAACTTCATGGTCAAAATGTGTCAAAGCTTTCTTAGTTTTATTTTAGTGTTGCTGTTTACATTTGTTCTTGGCATGGTTCRTTTTGAAATGCTTCTATTAGTTTTCTTTTTTACAGTTTAAATGTCATTTCACAAAGCGCTCCATATTTTCTCAGTTGCCACAGTTTAACAGTTTTGCTTTTTCATTTGCATCGTATTGAAACACTAATATTTATAATAAATAAGAAAAAGTTTTATTTTTTTCTTATCTCACAATGTTCCAGTCTAAGACTTGCCATAAAATATTAGTGATGTTTGATTGTTTTGAATAACCTTAGGTAAAAAAATACCAGATATTGTGATGTAACTAGCTGGTTTTATCATCTTCYTTTACGTTTTACCAGATCATTATTCTGCCTTTTGTCAGTGAAAAATGCTAATTTCACCTTGTTGTAGGAATGCGCTTAACTTCAGCTCCATATAAAGTTTCCTAGGAGTGAATACATAAATGAGAATTTGATTAGTTTTGTGGAAAGATAAACCCCAAAACTTAGCACYGATGCTGGTGGGCTTCATATTAGAGTTGATTTTGTACGAAGGCTCTCGGATGGAAAGCTGAGGATCCCGATGAACTCTGGTCTCTGCAGATCGTAACATAAAAGATCAGTGATTCAAAAACACTTTCATTGAGTCAAATACTGCAAACTTTATTTTATTATAGCATTAACAAAATACTTATTTTAGAATATTATTGTTTCTCARTTATGTTACTTTTGATATGCTGATGTGAGTAAAGAGAAAGGTGAACGTGTTGACGGACTGTTCCCAATTAAAGTCAACAGTTCATATTTTGAGAACCAATGTTCAAAAACTGATTAGTTTCTTTTATTTTACTAAAATGTTGGGAATAAATTAAAAATTTACATTAGTTGAAACTTCAACAGATTAGGTCATTTTTTAAACAGAAATACAAAAAGTGAAAAACCTTGACAACGATGAAGACCAAACATCAGCTAAAATTAAAGTTTTTAAGAGAACGTGCGTATTACATGGAATATCACTTTCCCTCTCATTTTCCAATTTTTTTAGTTGTTTGTTTTAATAAGCTTAGAACCCCAACAAGCTCATAGACAACTAGACAATCAATGCAGCCCAGTATTTCACAGATAAATGTGACCCRTCACACTGAACCAAGGATTAAGACCCAAAGTGGAGAAAGTGTGTTTTGGTTTAAACATTTGCAACAATTGCATTTTGTCAAAATATAATGCATCTTATCTACAGGTTGCTGAAAAAAAAATCTGAAATATAATCTTAAACATTGTTTTAAGCCCTTTTTTGAGTAGTAGCTATTTAAAAAAAAACATGATATTGAGCATACAAGCCTTACATTTGAGTAATCCCCAGCAAGTTAGCGAAGCTTCCTTTTTTTCTTTTCTTTTGGTAAATCTTAATATCCAAAAAATCATTTAAGGTTTTCTCTCTGAAATAGCACAAATCAAAAATTCCTCAATGGCATACGATTCAAAACACTTAACATATAAGCCAAATCATTCATATCTCTGGAATCGCCCAGGATGATCAAGCTGTCAAAACGGAGCTTAAAAAGCAGGAATCGAGGTCATTTTAACCAAGTTTGACTTAATTAAAAGCTGTCTTTTACCATTTTAAAATATGATGTCAGAGATAGACGTGACTGCTCATTTTGGGTAGATATTTAAGTAATTTCCTTTTTTAGCCATCCTATAGATGGTTGACAGCCAGCAGACACAGTTTGCGGCACACAGGTAGAAAATAAATCTCCCTCTGGAACAAGAAATTTAGTGATTTTGTTTCCATAGTTGTTTCATAAAATTTCATATTTTTAAACCATATGATATTTAGCTCTCTTAGCATTGTCACAGTGCAGAGATGCTTGTTTGATTTATACATAATAGTCTTTTATTCAACAACATATTGTGGCAAACAACTTTTCAATTCCCACCTTGAAAAAGCAGTTTATTTAAATAAGTTTATCATCTTAACCACGCATTGTATGGTCTGTAAGTCAGACAGGACAGGTATGGATGTAGACTGCAATTCTATTAGCCGTGGTAACTGCGAGGCGGTAATTCTAATGTATTCTTGTTACGTGCTGTAGTTGTGCTAGGAGTGAGTGATTTGTTCGGCACAAACTCTAAGTTTGACAAATAGTTTAATGGGTCATCAGAGATAAGAGATGATTCTAAACTATGGTGTTTATTTTCAGAAGGCTGCGACAGGAAAATGAAAAAGCATCACTCATGGAGTAATGAGTCTATTATAAATCAACTGGGCAGATTGTATTCAGAACATTCAGATTCATCGTAGCAATCTGTTTCTCATTTACACTTGTAGTATAATGAACACGGGTTCTCCCTGCAGACTGAAGCTTTGGAAGTTGCTGCTGGTTTAGAGTTCCTGCAGCATCAATTCTTATATTCTCAACTTTTTTTCTTCTCGTTTTTCTTAAGCTGAGTGAATACTCCAACTCAGCTTTTCCCCATTTATTTAATGGTTTTAATTACTTTGTCTACTATTTTCAAACATTTTCTATTCTTGTTTTCCCATGGGATCAAATTAAAGCATTTAGGATTTTGAATATACAAGAAAAAAATCATTTTTTTTCAAAGATGTGCTTGGAAAATAACAGAAACAGCAACAGAAATGTCACAAAAAGCTAAATAAACAATTACATTTATGCAAACTTTCATTCATTTTTTCATATTTTATGTTCAATGATGAAAATAAATTTGTCTCAATAATGATCAGCAAACAACTTTTAATGAGTTACTTGATGTCACAGTCATGAATCTATAAGTGTTCCAGTTTATYAAGTCATTTCTGAGCCATACTATGACTGTTTTTCAAGCTTCTTTTTAACATTTCTATCAGGACTTTCTTTGTCTTTCTTCAGCTGATTGCCTTACGTATGTGTTGTTGAGTAAAGCAAGCTGACAATAACAGGAAGTTGGTATTCAGAGCCTTAGAGGACAAAATTGGTTTAAATTAGTCCGSAAGAACTTTGTGTCCTAAGTAAACAAAAGAAAAGCACTTGGCTCAGAAATGAAGCAAGTTCTTAAGGCATCAATCWGATTGTGAAGTCTGGATTAAACTACAAATCCTGTTTTATTTGTTCCCAAAATGATGCACTTCATGTTTCTCTGGTTGTTCAGTTTGCTTATTTAGAATATAATACCGTTTTAATTTCACTGCTGCGATGCTTCCAACCAACAACCACCCACCTTAGTTGTATCAAAGGAAGCAGTTGACTTTTATTTCAAAATACTGAATGGTACAAATAGATAATGATCTGAGMACTTTTATTTAACACTTGTTTGAGTCTGTTCAGAATTCACTGTGTGTTTCTGAACAACAACAAAAAAAAACACTGAATCATTTGTTCAGTCAGCCACCACCGTGGTGTCGGCGAGACAAGAATGGAGCATCGCTTTCTTCTGTTGCACAAAAACTCGGAGCGCCATGTAGCAATGTTCACTAACACAGGGAGGATTAAAAGATTWAAACTCACAAACACACACAGCAGCTAAAGGTAGAGTTACTGCTTTTCTGATTATTCCCTTTCACATCCAACAACGTGTCTTTGCTGATAAAGACCAAGAACTTATAYCTTCTATAAACTGTAGCACTATCGCTGAAGTCCAGCAGTCTTGAACTCTTACAAAGTTATTTCAGCTTCACAGAAAGAGTGATCACTATGTCAGAGTTTTTTATGCACTTGAAGCAGAGGCATTGCTTCCTGTTTGAGTTTCTGGATGTGGGATCAGATCTTTGTTTCAGGATGTCTGAGCAGTGTGTTGTGTGTCATTCTTGTGTTGCTCCTCTGTTCCAGTTCTGGTCAGAAAAATTGTTCCTTTTTTTTGGCCAGCTGAGTAGAGCGTTGTTGCAGGTTGTTCTTCTTTAAAATGACTCCCAACACTTATGGTAGTGAGGGCGATGCAGACAAGAGTTCACTGGTTTTCTCCCATGAGGTCCCTTTACATGTACATACATCATGGCATGGTACAGTATCATATATTCGCAGTTTCATTATAAATACAGCTGAATAGCTGAAACTGGGTTTGTTCATAAAAGCAGTACTTTGATTTCAGTTTGGCTTGATCACATTGTACAAACGTACTGACTGGCATTGGTCTGCGAAGGCCTCACCACTCTGGGTGTGAGAACACAGGCAGATGAAAGCAGACTATTTTGACACAAAATTAGAAAAAAAATCACTGTACACGTTTAGATGGAGGAATAATAACACATGGTCCTCTGAACTGAACCAGTCCTCCCATCTGCTCAGAAGGTCCTCAGCGACATCCTCCCCCGGCGGTGTTTATGGTCCATCGAGGAGATGAAGAAGCGGTAAGAGAAGGCTGAAGGCAGCTTCAAGCTTTAGGTTGTGAAACCAGGCTGAGTTTGGGAGACTGTCGGAGGGCAGGGTGGAGTGGCCCACAAGTAGTTCATTTCCAAGGATCTGGAACAAACAAATGATATCCCAATATAATGTCAAATACTGCTTATTTAAATTAAGGTTTCAACTATTTATTTTGAACTCCCACACCATTTCCAATTAGATGTCAAATTGAAGTTAAAGCTGCTTATAAAAAATAATTTTTACATATTTGTTAGCCTGGCCCTTGCCTTCCTACGCAGCTCCGCTCAATTCTAACTTCGCTTCACTGCTCCGTCTGGGATTTCTCCCATAGACAAGGATTTCTTCGGGAGAATTTTCGTCCGGGCCAATCAGAGAACAGAACGTCGATTTTCTGCGCAGTGTCTGCTTGTAGTTTATTTCATCTGGGCCAATCAGCAAACAGAAGGCGGAGTTTTGAACGACGTTGATTTTCTGCACAGTGTCTGCTAGTTAGTTTAGCATACGGCAGTGGAGGAAGTGAATGAACGCAGTCCGTGTTGATAAGGCTTCCAAATTAAATTAAATTTGGCTCGGTACTTTTCTCCTCTCAGTAGGGTTGTTTACAGCGCATGCGATTTCCGGTTAGCTTCTTAGCTTAGCCTCCTTCACAGCGACACTACAGCAGAGGCCACGCCTCCAGCAAGAATCGTTTCACTATAGCCGCAAGTCCAGACCCTCGTATGAAGCAAAGTAAAGGACAAGGGTCTGGTTTTTACCAGGCTACATATTTGTTAAAACTGTAAAATGTTCTGTAGATGCTGTAAAAGTGTGTTTAGTTGGTGAAATATAAAAGAGTTCATGTTTGATTTGGACATTATTGTTCTGCACACATCTACCATCAGCTTGCACAGCTGACCTTGGGTCACTGAAAGATGCACTTTCACATCTTTTTTTAACTTCTTTGAAATCAATATCTTTGCTGATGTCAGTATAGGATTATGTTTTTAATATTTTCTTGGTTTATTTTGCACACTGACTATGGTTCCCGTCCTGTGGGAGTATCTAGGAAATCGCATGCTTTTTTTATTTTAGTTGAGAGTTTTGACTTAAACCAAAGCTGAAATAACAAAAAACTTTTAGTGTGTTTTTTTCTTGCAATGAATATAAAAATATGCAAACACATRCAGACGTAGAAATAGAATAATAGTTTGTACTCAGAGAGGGACCATAAGAAGACTGCACACCTGTGTAGGTATCACAGTATCCAGAATGTTGCTCATTGTTACCAAAGGTTCTGGTTGAGAAGTGTTGCTCCAGGTTTCTCCTCCTGRGCTGGGATTACTGGTCTGCCCGAGAATCGTCTGCTGGTCTGAATCACTTTCATATATCACAAGAGCATTTTCTGAAACAACAAACACAAAAAAAAATGTCATCGGACTTCATCAAGATTTGAGTTTGGTGAGTTTTCATTGAGTTTCATTCATGTCTCATTCAAACAGATTCCTGTTCTGCTTTTTAAATTTATTGTTAGAGTTTCGGCCAGCCAATAAAATAATAAAAATAAAATAAAAAAAACATGTTGGATTAAATGAAGAAAAGGGGGAAAGTCAATATTCTCTTCAAATGTCCAGACAGCACCTGCTTCTCATCAATGACCTCATTAACTCGTAGACCAAAGAACTCAGACCTCTCTTTGGAACGCCAGGCAGGGGGCCCAAAGAAAGACTCACCAAACCCTCACCTTGCCGTGCACACAAAGAAAATCACTGTGTGCACAGGTTTCATGACAGATAGATCAGTACAGACTCACTGAAGTCAGCAAGAAGGACATTAATTATTTACYCTTTAGGGATGAGGAGGTCACAACAGGCTAAAGGGGAAAAAAAGGTGTAAGAATGGGAACCAGCATGGAGAAGGGGAGATGCATCAGCAGAACAGAAGTYTAAACAAATTTCAAAGAAGTGTATAACGTCTCAAACAGAGCAGATGAATCACATTAATGTGCAATAAACTTAAATCAACTTAAAGGTTWTCATTGGTCTTATGTTACAAATTCTAAGTSTGTAAGCCTAATTTCCTGAATCTAATTTACACCACAGTGATGTGTGTACTGTAGGTTCTGTGGACCACAGATTTAGAGTCATGCAATGAGATTAAAACAGAAAAGATGTGTCCAAGAGTTTATAAATCTACTGTACCAGTGAGGTCTCTGTGCATTTCTTTATACTTTAAATTTATTTTAGCAATAAGAAACTATTTATGCTAAAAGCATTGGCCAGTAAAATATTAGATTTTTTTTGTTTCCCTTGAAGATACCTGATTTGTGTTTGTTTTTAGCAACTATTTCTGGGTGATAACAGTAAGATGTGGTGAGAGGATATGACACAGGGAGCTTTTACTCTGTACTTAATGTTCTGCCAGTACCTGTACTTGAGTGAATAATATTGGATGCAGCAGATAAGAAAAAAAAATAAAAGGAAAGTAGTTAATGTGAGTCAATCCTTTAAACAGACGTGTTGCAGCTAAATCATTGGTTGACCTTGACTGTTGGACACTTTCCATCATCATGATGGTTTTTTTTTTCTTCCTGTAACACATGAGCCTCACAAGTTAAACTGAACTAATGGAATGATTATGACTGTCTCCATTAAAACAAATAGGTGGCTAATGTAACATTAAAGGGAAACGTATCGTGCAAAATCCACCTTTTTTTAGCCATTAARTACATTTTGTTGGGTATTTGGAGTCTCTAGGAGTGTTATATTTAGTCGATTCCAGTGCTGCATAGATACCTTTATATTCTGTTTGGGTAATATGGGCCAGTGATATGACTGTAGATCAGGGCTATTCAACTGCTGGTCTGGGAGCCACATCTGGCCGTCGTGTGATCTTAGTTTGGCCCACCATTGAGTTCATAAAACTAAGCTTCTAATCAAATAAACATTTTAAACAGCTGATACAATCTCTGTTTTTGTCAGAGAGGTGATCCTGTTTTATTGAAGAACTATTAAAGTTATACAACAAAGTCCACTTCCTGTAAGTTTATTTGAAATAAAACTAGATTTGAATTTTTAAGTTAAATTTCTGTAATGACAATAATTGCCAGATATCCAGCCCCTGACTTGTTGGCTTTCAGTAACTGAGGCTCCCTGAGCAACTAAAGATAAATGGAAACACACAGAGACACACAAACGGTAATGCGAGCATGTTTGGTTTATATTGAATGCCTTTGATTAGAAACCTGGCATAAAGTGAATAACATAGAACAGAAGATTTTGCTGCATTAGAAACCCTGAGTGCCAGCATCCTAGTAAATGCTACTTTGACATACCACCAACACTGCAGACAAAGCTCTCCCCAGTGTGTTTCTCAGCATCGAAAAAAAAAATACAAAAAAGAAAAACAAAGAAGCTAAAGTCTTGGTCAACATCAATTTAGTTCCTACCATAAATCTTGATGGGTAAAAGCTGGTTAGTAATTTGATGAAATTGTTTTCTAACAAATGTTTTTTTTTTCTTGTTAAGTTTTATTATTATTGTCATTAATGCCTATTCAGACATTTCAGTCGGTGCGTGCAATATGTTTAACTTAAAATGAAGGCAGCAGAGTTACTGATTTGTTATAATATTTATGAGAAACAGAATTTGTTTATCTGTGTCTGTAACAAGTACAACAAAATCGAGTGTCAGATTAGATCACCAAAGCTACAATATAAAGTATGTGGATGAAAATAAATTAAATAACAGCCACATTTGTCCCAAAAAAAATTCAAAAGAATCTGTTTTTAGTGTTCAAAATTATTAGCAATTGCCTATGTTTCATCAGGACCTTTTCTAGGCATTGTTAAAATCAAACACAAGCATCTTGTGTCTTTTAATATTTAAAAAAAAATCACAATAATCTCACATTCTGTGGGTTTTACTCACTGAGACCATGTGAGGTTTGAGGTGGCCTTACTACGATAAGTAAATAGGTGTGAGTGGGATATTAAGAATCAAAAAGAAGAATGCCAGGGCGTAAATGGGAGATAGAGAGCGTGCTTTTAATGCCGTAAAAAACACAGAAGGTCTGATTTAAATACATTTCTCTCTGCTTCTGTGGGAGCATGCTGAGAAACATCTGTCTAACTAAAACCCAGACGGCTCTGTCCTATCACTGCTGCCAGCCATGAAGCTCACTTTGATTTTCATATTAGGTCTGTTTGAATAGCTCCTGTTACAGCTTATCAATGCAAATTATTCTGATTAGTAAATACAGTTTTGTGTTTCATTTGAATTTAAATGCTCTGCTGCGCCAGCAGTGAATTTAAATGACACAAAACCTAGGAAATCAGAGCGACTCAAAACTTTCTATTTTTCCCCCTTTCTTGTTTATAAGTCTTAAAGCAATGGTGTGCTTACRCTCAGATGTCAGGTGAGCACTGCAGCATTTGATTTGAAGCATAAATGCAATAAAGACATTCAATTTGGTTTGCAATATTAATACAAGCAAGTGCCACTATAAACATGCATAAAAGTAAATTCTCAGTAATCTCTTACCCTGAATTCACACAACTGCTCTGGTTCGAAGGATTTCATGGCTGCAACATGTGTGATTTGTGTGAGACTGAAYGTTATAAAGAAAAACGGTTCATCACTGTGTCCTTGGAGTTGAATGAACTCTATTTATTAATGTTTAATGATTGTTGCCATTGCTTTAGTCAACTTTTCTTGTAAAGATAAGTTTTCCTTTGAAACATATTCTCACCCAAAAAAGATAATTGTTTCCATTAGTGTAAAAAAATAGCCAAAATTAGAACAGTTTTATCTTAGATTCAGCCAGTTATATTTGCTGCTGGTGTCGGTTTTCTCTTTTATCGCCCATCATGCTGCACAGATATATATTTATAGTATTTATTCATAAATTATTAAACATGTCCCTCACTCATTTTTCATTCTGAGGCTTTAGAATTGCTACACTCTGGTAAAGTGAGGTTTGTTGAGAACTCTAGGAACTCTAGGAACACAACTTCTCCAATTGTTTTTACTTATAAGAGATATATTATTATAACTCTGAAAAACACTTCGCATTTACATCTTTTTTACTGAAATGTTTTTAATATTTGTTTTTATAATCAAYGTGCAATCAGTTTATTTTTATACTCTGCTTAAGTTGTTGAGTGCCTATCTCAGGGATGGGGAACTGGCGGCTCGCGGGCCATATACAGCCAGAAAGGGAGACTTTCGTCCAGCCCACCAATATAGCACTCAAACCAATGTGGCTTTAAGGGTGCTTTAAGTTAGAAAACWTTTTTTTGGGAGGTAGACTATCTATTTAAACGTGCAATGATATACACTGCATGGCTTCCTGTGTAAAATTTGGGCTCATACTTTGAACACACATCAAATTATTTCTTACTGTATATTAAATCGTATAAACAAGCCGAACAGTTTGATCACTCCCAGTACATAAACTCAACTTTTTTATTTTTTGGACGCCACATGAAAAGTCATGTTTACAGCACATTTCATTTCAATAAAAAACAATTTTCACCTTTGTTTACTCTACTTTTATTTACTTTTTTTCTACATTTGTTTATAATTAAGAATCTAGTCAGCATATTTGAATAAATGAACTCCAATAAAAAGCTTGAGAAGCTAAAGTAGAAATAAAATTAACTATAATAAACTTTGCAGATGCTATAGATCGATTGATACTCACTGAGACAGATGTTATCAGTAAAATATCCCAGAAAATGATCACACTCCTCCCTCGTGCTCCCACTTGCTGAGCAGGAGCACCACGGGGCCACGCTGGATGTGGAGTTGTCGACGTAGTTGGGAGTTATCGTACTTCCTGCAGACACACAGCAGCGGGCTTCGATCAGTATTAAATATTCATCCCCCCCCCCCCCTTTGAGTTTTACACTTCATTCATAGTGCTTTATTTTCTAAAACATTAATGAGCACTGCATTTCCTGTACACAGACCTGCACTGAGGAGATAATAATAATGTAATTTTACAGGTCTGAGAGCTTGTGCACTGACTTGAGAAATAGAACGATGCAGAGAAACGTTCAAATGTTTTTTCCTTTTTTTTAGGTCACAGAAGGCTTTTTTTTTTTTTTTGTTCCAACACAGTGGAGGTGGGATTCAAGTGCTTTAATAAATACAAGACGGGAATGAAAATGCCAAGTGTGTGTTTGTGCTGAGGGGCACCATTTGACGTTCTTGAAATGCATTAGTTTGGCGCCTCCTTCCAGGGTGTGGAAAATGATGTGGCTGTTCTTTTTCTTTTACTCACTGTTATATGGCAGATTGAACCTCACATTATATAAAATGCATTTGTTTTGTTTTTTATATATACTGAAGAAATCCTTATGCTTTTATGAGTTATGCCAAACTGAACTTTGCCTTTTGGTTTATAAAATTAAGTTGCATTTCATGCTCCCACTCACTCTCAACCTGTTGTATAAACATTCATTTCCCTTCCAGCCAAGTTTCCCTCATTCCCGCCTGTTTTTATTTTCTTGCACATATGCCACATATACCTCCACTCTTGCTTTCTCCTCCACTTGCTCATTTCATTTCTTTATTCTAAATTGTGAAATGTTTTCTAATTCTGTGTGCTCCATCTCAGAGGCGTACCTACCTATAAGCCCTGTGTAGGCGAGGAGACATGCTCCATACTTCCCTTGCTTGCAGCCACTGGCAGATGTTTCCGAGGGTTCGCAGTCATACTGAAACTGTGCCAGGCGAGACCTGCATCATAGTTAGCAAAAACATGCTGAAAAACCAGTTTCTTCTTTTTTATGTAAAAGTGTTGTTATTGCAAATTTCCCTTCCTATAATTTTAATTACATTGAAGATATATTCTTTTCTGCAGTGAAGACTGAAAGCACTGAACTGTAGTGTGAAAGTGATAGAAAGAGTAATATATTTCATCCCCCAGACCTGGGATCATTAGTAAAGCCCTTTGAGTGTAATGGGCCTGTGGAAAAATAATGGCTATGCACAAGAGATAGCAATGAGCGATAACTCTGATCCATCTGGGTATTTTTTTTATCTGCGCTAAATATTTAACATGTTATTTCTGCAGTCTCTCTGGGGTGTTCTTAATAATGGTGGCAGAAAGCTTTAAGGTTAAATAGTAGACCATTTTCTTGATTGAATGGCTGTTTATTCAGTTTCAAAAAAAGCCAGAGACTGAACAGCATTGGTCAAAGAATGGCGAGCATCTCTAATACCCATTTTCAAGAAACGTTTAAATATAGAGAGATGTAAAAAAAATATAAAGATCATTAAACAAAACCAAAGTGGGAAACAGTTATATTTTTGTGAATGTCTATCAAACATTCACACTATTGAGATCATTTGTTTTTTCCATACGTTTTTCGGCATGTATCTTGTTCCGCAAGTTTAGTACTATTTAAATAATTTATATATGGAAAGGCTCTTTCAGGACATTCAGGCTGAGTTTTGGTACTTCAGCAACTCATCTTTTTTGAGACATTTAGCTTTATCAGTCATTTATTTTTTCTCATTGAAAATGAATGGAGCTGTTTTGTTCTAGTTCTGTTTTTTTAATGTCTTTATGCTAAATTTTGCTTCAATCTGTGTCTATTTTGTTTTTAGCTTTTTTCTTCTTCTTCAGCTTTCATTATATGTCTGCTAATTTAACTTTTTGTGCTTCTTTCAGCTTTCTGCCAGTTTAAGCTTTTTATGCCTTTTTTAGATGTTTTCTGGAAATGTCAACTGTTTTCTGTGTTTTAGCTACTTTCATATCTAATTTCAGCTACTTTAAACTTTATTTCAACTAAATTTTACTTTTTTGTGCTTCTTTCAGCTTTCTGCCAGTTTAAGCTTTTTATGCCTTTTTTAGATGTTTTCTGGAAATG